GTTGTAGGAATGTTGCTTCCAAATCCTACAATTCCAAAGACAATCATTTGGCAATGGTTGAACCAAAGTCACAATGCCTGCGTCAATTATGCAAATAGAAATGCCTCTAAAGTGAGTTATTAAATTGTTGCATGTATTTTCGTAAGATATGGTGGTGCAAGTTGGGTTTAAGTAGGGGCAAGATCTGGGGAATATGGTGGTTGTCAGAACTGGGTAATGTTGTTGTTGACCAAAGGCTGCTGTGCTGAATGGGCAGGAGCAATGTCATGATGGAGTTTCTAACAACCAGCATCCCACAAAGTCAGCAACACGTTACTGTAGTACACCTTGTTTACTGGAGCTTATTAATGATGAACAACACCTGCATAGTTGAAGAAAACGATCAACAGTATCTTCACATTGCTTTGATTCATTTGTGCTTTTTTTCAGTCTCAGAGAGATTGGGTTTTTCCACTGCAAAGCCTGAGCCTTGGATCTGGGGTCATAGCCACAGGCTCACGGTTCATCTCTTGTTACGACTGTTTTCAAAAAGTTTTCTGTGGTCTTGTGAGATGCAACATTAGACACACTTTCCTTCCATGTACTGCTATAAACAATGAAGATGAACAATAACATCAAGAAGTGTGTGTATGCATAACAGAGTTCAAGATCAATCTGTGCCAAGCGACTTCACTTTGCATGCTTTATCTCCATTACCATAACAATAATACTTTTTGATCAAATCTCATGTATAAATATAATGATATAACCATTTAATCCATGTCATTGACTATTAGGTTGTGATTAATTGGAGATCATCTTGTTTAATGGAAGGCAGGAAGGTGTCTTTCAGGTGATTAATGGAGAAGTTTCATCTCTGTGGCGAAAAAACAGTCAATTTTGTCCCATTTACAAACACTGTAGGATTATTTTTAGATCAGCCGTTAAATTTGAACTGATCAAACTGATCAGACTATCGCCGCAGGAGTAAATGGTTGTGTCATCGGCAGAGGTATCAAATTGAGAGCTGATGTCATCGGGAAGGTCATTGATGAAAATTAAGAAAAAGTAGGTCCAAAGGTAGATCCCTTTGGTGGCACCTGCATTAGTACAAAAAAGATCTAGAAGTTTGGACGCTGAGAAAAACTTTGATAAGAAAAACTGAATTAGATGAAAAATTTGTCTGGAAACACCATAAATTTGGGAATACTGGTATATATTTGTTCCAGTGTAGTATAAGAAATGTTGAAATCAGTCATATTGGACATTAAGAGATGAAAGACAACAGCAAAAAACATTAGTGAATGTCTTGCTGCTATGTTGCAAAAATATGTGGAGTTGTATGCAGGTCACTAGCACTGACCATATGGCAGCAATATTCAAAGCATTAAACGATTGGTAGACTTATAAATATGCAAGATAGATTCAGGAGAGAAAAATTAATCACATGATACAGTAAACCAACTTTCTTAGAAGTTGACCCAACAAAGGATTCAATATAATCTTACCATTTCATGTCAGCTGAGAATGTTACCCCTGGAAGGCACAATGATTCAATCTTTTCTGGAGGGTAGCACCTTGATGTGCTGGTGTGAGGCAGAAAGTGGTCTCTCTGATGATAAATTGAGAAGTTTTTTTTGGAAGTGTTAAAATTAACATACCATTTCCCAGACTACCAGCTGCTGGTTTGAATTAACAGACTACTATCGTGTTGTCAGTTTTTTTACATCAAGTCTGCCGGGTTTGACTGATCAGACTATGACGCCACAGGAGTAAAATGGTTGTGTCATCAGCCAAGATACCTTATTGGTGTGGGAAGTAATAGAGAGCGTGATATACCAGGAGTAAAATGGAAAGGTCATTGATGAAAATTATTGAGGAAAAGTAGATCCAAAAGCTGTGTTCTTTATATTTTTTGACAATTTAATGTTTTTTTTTTATTTACTGAATTATTATTATTGTTTGCAGCTGATGGTAATATGAAAAGGTTTCTGAAAGGTTCTCAGCTCAACCAAGATAAAAACTTGATGTTTGGTCATTTGATCAGATTTTGAGAAATGGATTGGGCCGAGAGAACTTTTCTCATATTAATATTATAATACGGGCCGAATTGACTCAATCCTGGATTGTTTCTACGTTGGTCCACTGGCACTGGTCAATTGATGGTTGTCTGTTGACTGCTTTGTTCCTTCATTTATCTACCCACGTTTTTTTGATCTCAGTGTAGTGAAGATCAGATTTTTGTTTGTACTTAAACATTGAATCAAGATGGTGGAACTGTGTTGTGAAAAAAAGACAAATATCATAACAAATAAAAAGAAAGCTATAGGTTAATTTTTCGGTGGTTTATATAATCATTGATGCAGCAAAACGCCCCTTCTTGTTCAATTCTTTATAATGACATTGTATCCGTTGCTTCTAAAACTTGGCAGGGATTAAACATTCACATGTAATATTAGATTATTTCAAATACCTGTCATCAAGGCTCAATGGCAGCAATTCTCTTGGCAGTAAGCCATGTGGCTTCTTCTGGTCTCTCCCGGTTACTGCTGGGCTCTGGCACCCTCTGCTGGCTTCTCATGGCCTCGGGTCAATATTTGCTCAAACTGCAACTGCTACTCCTACAATCAAACATTTAGTTTATATGCGTCTCACCCAACATTCATTGCCCCTCAAACACATATTCATCAATTAATCATTTTGAACCCTGGAGAAATGACACCAACCTTAAACAAAGCGGTCTGGTATTTCAAACAATAAACATTGTTGTAAAATTCCTTCTTCCCAACGATAATTTTTACTCAAAAAATTTTTGCGCTTAAAAATTTATTTCAAATGCTGTTTATTTATTTGTTGATTTCCAAATATGACACAATATCAAATCCCATTGTTTACAATTACATTCTTGGCTTCCTTAAATTTGCTCCCCAGCTGACAATGACCTTCAAATGCCAAACAATCAACTTTTCAAAACAAAATTATTTATTTTAAATAGGCAAAGAATTTTTCTACTGTTTTACATTTCAGTCTTTTCAGGGATTCATAACAATTCTTATTTGAGTTTCTGTTTATTAGAAAGGAAAAAAATAAAAACATCTTTTCCTTCACTTCATATTTCAATTCCTGTTTTTCATCTTAACATTTTCAACCCTTCCAATGCTCCAATTCTACATGAGGTTTTCACATGAACCCTTTTAATCCTATTTCCATCATATCAATGGCACAATAATGTCGCATTCCTTTCAACTATTATCAGTGACCCTTTATAGTGTCACAATATTAATACAGGTTCAGAATCCTTTATCCAAAATTCTTGTGAAAGGAGTGATTCAGATTTGAGATTTTGTTTTTGATTTTGGAATACAGGCAAATTTAATTTGTATAGAGTATCTATAAAATAAGGGCAGCTTGAGAATGGAACTGAAGCATAAATATGATATCCTTTTATATTTCATAACACAGCTTATACATATATCCTGAAGGTTGTTTTATATAAATAACATATACTCTGAAAGTTTTACATGAGATTTAATAAATTTTGTGTGCATACAAATACAGGTAATGATGCTATTTGTGTAATACCCAGATGGATTTTTAAATGGTGAAATTAAAATTTCATGCAAAAATAATGTTTTGTACTTACAAAAATATATAAATGCAGGACTTTTTGACATTTTGAATAATATCTTTACTGAGCACGAAATACTTGGTAAGTAATCCACAAATGAAGATGTTGCTGTGTCAATCACTAACCAAAAACTGTTGTCAACGTAGGCTATGTAGCTGGGCTTTCTGAAATTTTTCATTTGTGGCAAGTCATGTCTGCACGTGAAAAACTTTCAGATTATGGATGTTTTTGGATAAAGGATACTCAACCTGTACTAATATTTTAATTTTAATATGATTAGGATTATTTTAATATGAACTTTAATGCTGTTATTTTAACACAGAATTTAATGCTATTACATTGGTAAAAAATATATTTTAATATGAAATTGTTTTTAATGGAAAATTCAATACTGTTGTTTTTAAAGGTAAATTTAATGCTGTTGTTTTTAATGGGACATTTAATGATGTTTTTATTGAGAGATTTAATACTGTTGTTTTTAATAGGGAATTTGATAATGTTTTTAATAGAAAATTTAATACTATTATGTTTATAATAATTTCAATACTAGAAATTTTATTTAAGCTTTAATTATATATTTCTTAATTCTTTAATTTGCTATTAATTTAGTTTATTCAGTATATTATTTAAATATTTTATTTCCATTTTTATGTTTTAACTTTAATTTTAAAAATAATGAAATTTGATAAAATTAATTTTTTGATATTTAATTTAAATTTAATATTACTCATATGAATCAATATATATATATATATATATATATATATATATATATATTTATTTATTTTACAGCCAACACCTATTCATCGTTTTTTGATTGGATATTTTAAACGTTTCCAGTGCTGTTTCTATTGCTGTAAGTTTTTTAATTTTCAAAAACCTTCTGATTAAAATGTACCTTTTACGGTACTTGATGTGTTGTTTTTATATTTTTTTTTACTGATGGTTCGCATAATACAATGTCCAAGAGCCATCCAAGGTAGAGAGTTACTGAGTGAAATTCTAAGGAAGGTGGAAGTAAGAGAGTATTATAAGGACAAATAGGATAGATATTGGTTGAAATAGACCAAGACTGTAACTGTCAGGGAAACATTCCCTTGGGAGTCTGTTCCACAAAATAACAGTTCTGGGGAAGAAGTCGTCAGAGTGGAACTTGCTTTTTATCAAAAGAACACAAAATGGATGGGGATGGTTTGAACATGACATGTTGGGTTCTAACTGTGGACGTCTGATCTTTGAAGGTCTGAGGTGGTGGTATGAAAGAATGTAACTTGTTCAAACATCTGCAATAGTAATAAAGATATAGTAAAGAAAGGCTGGTGATATTTCATCTCTGCAATAAGGTTTCCAGGGATGAGGGTGGGGAATAATTTATCAACCACATGGCTGTGTAAGTGCTTTTGAATAGTAATGTAGACTTGGCTTTCCTGTTTTGGTTGGCAATAATTTTAGTAGAACCAAATTCAAATATGTAGATATATAATTAGAGATATCTGAAATTTCTGGGATATAATGAGAAAAGAAGGCCAAGAGAATTTAAGACTCTTAGGACATATTTAAGGCAAGAGAAAAAGGAGAAGACAGTGAATAACTGACTTAAAAGTTTGAATGAATGGATAGCAGAACAGGAACCAAGAAATATGGTAAAGAATCAAAAGTTGCTTAGAGCAACAAAAGACAGACAGTAGTGGATAGTCATGATTGCTCAGGTCCTGAAAGGACATGACACTTAGAAGAGAAGACACCAAGACACCACTCTCTTTTGAAAGGAACAATCATAGCAATGCACAGTTTGCAGATTTTAAAGAAAAAGTAAGCTGTGGAGAGCCATGATCCTCTGTATCATGAATAGACACTGAATTTGAAGAGAGGAAACAGAAAGAGAGAGAGGTAAATCCTTTTTCACTCCAAGTGGTGTTTAGGAGTACATAAGTTTGCCTATCATTTGGTTCACACGTTTCCCCTGTCTTTTGAACAGGAGTAGAGGTTTATCCTTTGTTTCCTATTTAGGATTGGGTTTCAGTTCCTTCTAATGTCTGCTTCAGCTCTATACTCTTAACGTTTGTTCTTTTCTATACTAATATAATTTTACACAATAACCCGCTACCTTGAGTGGCTCTTGGGCCTTGTAGCGGGTGAACATTAGTAAAAAGGAAAAAAGGCTCAAAGCTAGAAATTGCTGCTATAGTTTCTGTAGCAAGTAGGTTTTTATGGGCTTGAGTTGCCAGCCCCACTTTCAACTAGTTTTGATGAAAATCCTAAAATTCAGAGTTATCCTTCTCCAGACTGGTTGCCAACCAAGTTAATAACCATGTAAAAAACAGATCGATCAATATTGCTGCTTTTGATACATATTACTTACCATGACACAAGGCCAAATGAGGAGAAAATGTGATAGGAAGATTATGTGCTGCTAGTTTTCCTGGGAAGAGAATGCTTGCTTTGAAAATCAGCATTTGAGATCCTGATTTTTACTCGGGTGAGAATACCAACCCCAGATGCTGGTGGTATATATTTAATGATATTGTGCTAACAGTAATTTTTCCATGGTGTGCCAGGTTTTCCTGTTAAAAACCTCACAAACGTACTGAAATCAAATCATTATAGACTAAGTGAAAAGTTGAATGTGCAGAGATTTGCAGTAATAGGGGTAAATAATATCGAATTGACCCAGATAATGGGTGCACTATGAAAGAAAGGTTTATTAGCATTTTCCCATTATGGGCATTATTATATCCATGATATAATAACACCTTATTTCATGGATGGAATAGCAACAGAAAAGGAATGACAAAACATGCTTTGTTCTCAGGGAGAGTTTCATGCCACTATGTCATACACAAAATACCACACACACACACACATATATATATATATATATATATATATATATATATATATATATATATATATTTCTCCCACATAGAGAAATTATAACACATATGCAACAACAAGTGGTGTGAAAAGAGTCTTATAATAATTCTCGATGCGAACCAGAGCTGCCTGTGATTCTTGTGTTTTTCTAGAGAAGCCATATTTAGGATTCCAGATTTGAGCAAGCTAGATTTATCTGCTATGTCACTTGTGAGGATATATTCCACAAAGGAGAAATAGCAGGTCCTCAGCTTTTCTCAAATTGAGGACTGTGAGCTGGAGATATTTTCTATATGTGATGAAGATATATTTCCATAGGAAAATGGCACCATAGACTTGTAAGCCACACCATGTGGATGGGGAGGAGATTTAACCTCAACCTGGGCTTCTTGGCCCATGGTTAAAAAAAAAAAAACTGTTAAGTTTGACTCCTGGAACCTGACTGATTGACCAGTTTTGTTACTGTATGACATGACATGACATCACTAAGCATCTGTCATATGACACACATGACTTTCAACTTTTGTATTCCTACAGTAATATTATTGTTTTATTTTTAATATTTAAAAATCTCTTGCACAATTCTCCCTCTTTCTGTTTCTGCTAAATTCCTACTTTATTGCAGGTTGGTCTTAGCATTTTCATAAAAAGAGCAAATCATTTTACTCCAGCCACGAAATTGCTCATTCAAAGATTTGTTCCATTCCCAGCTGTAGGTAAGTAAACATTCAAATTCTCAAAATTTTATGCAGTGGACTCTTCTGTTGATGTACAAAAGTGTTGCACAAAAAATATACAGATATATGGGATTTATCTTGTCAGAATCTAACTTGCACCTTTCTGAGCCTACCATTCATCCATGTATTGAACATTGCTGCCACTTCTTGACAAAATCCAATGAAGAATTTGCATTATTATCTGTACTGACCTGGCATCTCAGCTTCAGTCACTTTCCTATCTCTGTAAAGTAGCATCCCTTTGCCTTTTATATAAATATTTTTATGGTAACTGATCCAATGAGCTTTCATCTTTGATACCATATTCCCGAATTTATACACAGATTGGCTGCTAGGCCTCATAATTTTACTGTTGAAATTGCTAGTTGTAACTGTATGATTGATTGATTGACTTATTTTTATGATTTATCAACCCTTTGCAGGTTATTTAAATCCAGAAAATATTTTTAGATTGTAAGAATTTTTTCTTTTGAGATAGTGATGAGTTAGTGATACATATCTTACTAATTAACTCATACTGGTGGGTAGAAGCAGTGGATTCATACCTTTCCCAAGAGCATAAGTGAATATAAAGAACCTAACTGGAATTAGAACTCAGCTCTCTGATTAACAATTCTGAGCCATTGTCCATTGCACCACCCACACATACAAGCTTACAGCACCTGGTATTCCTAAGTAGTCACCCATCTAGGTACTGGCCAGACTCAATGCTTCTTAACTTTGGTTATCATACAAGATCTAGCGTTTCAATGTGAAGTGGCCCTAAGCCTGTGACTGTAAGCTTTATGCTATTTTTTTTCTTTTTGTACTTCTCGCTTGTAGAAATCTCCTCTGGCTTTTTGCTTTAGTCAACCATGATCTTAAAAATTCAAATGCAATGTCAATCATTATCTTGTGTGCACCTTAATCAAATTGTCATCTTGTGTGCACCTTAATAAAATTGTCATCTTGTGTGCACCTTAATAAAATTGTCATCTTGTGTGCACCTTAATCTCAGTTCTTTTATTGTCTTCTCTTTTTCTTTCATTCTCAGTAACTCTTAATGGCTTTTTAATACCTTGCTCTGCATGAAATGATTAAAAAAAGATAAAGAGAATTACCCATTCACTTCCTGGCATTTCTTTATATAGACATCTTGTACTGGGTAAGTGAATGACAAAATAGAAAACCTCTGTCTGAGAAGAAAAGTAACAATTATATTGGTATAAGTAAATTATATATAAAATACAACAAATTCTGCTTACAGTTTATTGTTTTTCTTTTTTACAGTAAGGTTCACCCTTTACAAGGCCCAGGGGCCACTTGAGGTAGAGCGTTACATTAGGAGACAATTTGTAAAGATTGCAGTGGGAGATAATGGTTAACCCTAGCCATGAACAGGTTAAGAGTGTAGTGCTTGGGAAACATCCTCTTGGGAGTCTGTTCCACAGAGCAATGGGTTACAGGAAGATGCTGTTAGAGTGCAACTTATATCTCACCAATGGAATGCAGAAAGAATGTGGTTGGTTTGTTACTATGTAAGTGGCATGGCATGATGGTTTAAATTGGTGGGACCAGGGAATGTAGATCATCTGAACACTTTCTGTAGAAGTAGTGATAGAGTTGTGAGAAGCTTACTACATCTCACCATGTGGGAAAGAAGTTGGAGGGTGGAGAATAATTTGTCACCCACAAGGACTTGGAGATGCTTTTGGACTGCAGAGTGATGTCTGGGTAGCTCTCGGCTAAATATAACAACAGTATTCCATTTTTGGCCTAATCTGGCTCTTGTAAAGGTAGAGTATAGCAGGAGGAGTCAGGTACTTACTAGAGTGGTAAAAAGAGCCAACATTTTACCTGCATCCTTAGCAATGGATTGTATGTATAAATTTCACCTGAGGTCAGGTAAAAGTTTGAGACCCAATAGTCTTTTCAAGGCATGATGCCTCCCTGAGGGGATATTTGTTCATCATGATTGGTAGTAGTTTGGGGTCCAATCAGCAACAATAGAATGTAACTAGCTTGGTCTTTGAGGCATTGAATGTAACCAGCCAGTTTTACCCCAATGTGTATATTGTGCAAGATTGGAAGAGAGATCAGTCAACAATCTCTGACCATCAAAAGTTTTAGACGTCCACCTGTACATAGTTTTATCATTGGCGTAGATGTTTACAAATGATCTGAATATATTCTTAGGCAGATCATTTTGTAAATCCAAAAGAGTAATGGCATATCAACACCAAATTTGAATTTTCTTGGGAGCTTTAAAGTAATAAAAATATGATACATGTTATTCTGTTTTCACAATTGAGTTCATGGTAAATGATACTCAGCTTTTGTGCATATACATGTCTGTGTGTGTGTGGACATAATTACTAGAGGTGGTGATATGTATGCATTATGTTCTAGTTATATTTTTGAATACAGTTTGATTTCTTTAAGAAAATGTAGGATATTATATAGATAATTAGCATGAATAGCATACCAACACCTCTATGGGTTATTTAGTGCCAAAATCTAAATATTTGAAATGCTATTGCATGCCTCCAACTACAGATGAAATGTATTGTTGGTCATTTTACTATAAAAATGTATTTTTATACATTCATAGTGTTTTGCTTTTGTTTGGGGGTCACAATTTGCCTATAGCTGGGATCCTAACAGTGGACCTGGGAACAGCAGCAATTAACCCTCCAATCTCCCAACCAGAGGTCTTGCTGCCAGACATAATTTATTGTCATATGCACATCTCCCACTCTACCACATCTCAATTCTCATAAGGTAGTATTTATATACAATACAAATTTTATTGTAACCTAATTACATACAATAATGGATCATATGCGATATATGTGAACAATTCAACTAGCAAAATTGAAAATAAATACAATGTCTCTAAACATAAATTAGAGACATCATAATAGATTGTTCCATCTTAAATAAATCAACAATGTTTTGTGGCAATTTTTGATATCAACTTGATATTTTTCTTGTTAAAAATTGAAGAATTTTAACACTTTGAACATTATGGATAAAAGAATAGTGAATTATATATATATATATATATATATATATATATATATAGTGTTTTTTGCTTAAGACTTAGCATAGGCAAAACAAATTCTTGGATTTGGACATAAAATAAGACAGAACCCACAATGACATTAAAATCTGCAAAAAACTTTCATTGTTTAATAGTTCTATTTTGTTTAATTTGTAATGTATATGTGGCGGACATGAGACAGAACCTGGGACGAGCACACAACTAGTCGCGATTTGCCTTGTCCCGCCAAAAAAAAGGGCCCAGATTTGCTTAGCATGTAAAGCTACTGCAGTTGAAATGAGGGAAAAAAAAAAGACTTACCGCTCTGCGTAATCCATCCCGGCCAGATAACATAAAAAGAATGAGGGGGGGACTGGCATCGATTTTTATCCAATAAGGACGCAATGCATTATGGGACATGGACGCAATGAATTATGGGATCACAGGGAAGATGCAAGGATTATGGGTATGAACAACTATAAAAAACAACTACTTTTTTCCAAGTCGGCGAGTTCTTCGAGTGACGGGTGTTGTTTTGAAACGACCAGGGTTGGACTGGTTTTTTTGACTTCTGTTTTGTTTGCTTTTGGAATTTTTTTTTGTGTACTGCTGGTCAGCGAAAATTTGATTTACTTAACGACTTGGAAGAACCCTTTTTTTTGAAACACCGGACGTTTGCCTGATAAGTTATTGTTTTAGTTTCATTCTTTTTTTAATTTTTCTATTTCTTTTGTTTGTTTTTTTAATTTGTTTTGGGCTTCGGCTCATTTTTTTCCTTTTTAGTCCGGTTTGACAAAGTCTTACCGACGACTGCTTTTTTATTTTTGTTTATTTTTCTATCAGTTTTAAAAAAGCGGAACAGTTTAGACAAGAAAAAAGAAAAAGAACCTTTTTGTTTAATTTTTATTTTTTTAGCGATTTCAGTCTTTTTTTCTCCATTTTTGTTTACGTTTTGACTAGTTTATTTTTCTTTTAATTCATTTTCTTTAGCGGCGTCAACGCAAAAACTTTATCCTTTTATTCTTTTTTTAGTACATTTGAAAGTTTTTGTGAAAAAGAGGAAGTTTTTGGTTTTTTTTTTTTATTTTCGGCTGCCTTCGGGCGCCATTTTTTATCTTTTTTGTTTGTTTAAAAAAGACTTACCTGTTTATTTTCTTTCCGGTTTTTTTTTTTCTGTTTATCATTTTTTATTTACTGGGTTATCCAGGCTTTCTTTATTTATTTTATATTTTTTATTTTCCCAACTCCTCCCCCGTGATTGTGAAGAATTTGAAACCCCAGGTGGTAGTTTCACATTTTTTTTACAACATGGCCCGGGCAATAGTCAGGCCAATGTGAAAAGACAACCTGTTTGGCTCGGCAAATAAAGCCGACCACTCTGAGAAGAAACTGAAAAGGGCTGATGGAAGCCCAAATAGACAAGAGCATCTCCAAAAAAGGAGATGCTTCTAAACTAGACCAAGTGCTTAAAGAGACGCAAAATAAGACGAAGAGGAGTTGCCCTCTTTGCTGGAAGTTTTAGTTGTATTCTGAACATGGCGGATTTCCTGGATAAGGCGAAAGTTACGCCCATCTTGTTAATAAAGATGGGTTCGTCGATGATGTCCGGAACTCGATATGTTCTCAAAAAAAGAATGGTGACTGTTTTTGCCCATTACAAAAAAACCGAAAAGATTTGTCGCTCCACAAAAGACACTGTGGATCAAATCACTTTTGTCCTGGGGATAAAACCCCAAAGAGTTATTAAGGGTACGCTTTTTTATGTGGGACATTCTGCTGCCCACACCGAAGATTGCCTGGCCATGGCCAAAAAAAAGAATTAATCACGAAGGATTTTATAATAAGAACCGAATATGAAGGGCAGGCGGACCAGGGTG